TTTGGGGCAGGGGCTGTTGTTATGCCTTCATAAATTGTTTTATTATTATATAGACTTGAAATATGGCATATAACCAGACGTAAGCGGCCGCTGTCAGTTTATTGGTTTAACTAATTTGGTATCTTGCTGCCCAGCTACCAGCCCCTGCCAGCCCCTGTCCGCTGACCTGTGCAACCTGTGATCCTCAACTGACTGTGTCTGTCTGTGGGTAATTAGCCCTTATGGATGCAGCTGCTGCTGGCGCTGACATTGACTGGCGCTGCAACTGCAACTCAGAAATTTGTCAAATAAATTTTGCAAAAAGGGTTGCGGCGATCAGGTGGGGGCCAAGGATGGGAGACTGTTGGGGGTTATCGTGTTGACTACAACAATAATTTGCATGCAATTGCAATTCAATAAAATTCAATAAAATTCAAATTAAATGCCAACATCTGCTGCTCGTCCTTTTCATTTTTTTCTCGTTCGTCCTTTCATTCTTTCTTTTTTTGTTTAGTCAAATGTAAAGCATTGTAATTTTCATGTTAAATATATGCACCCCTATTAAGTTATCGATAGTTATCGGCAAATGCAATGCCCGTCCAAAATGTGTTGACAAACTTGCCCAAAAAGATTAAAGCGCTCCCTCGCCATCCAACAACAACAACAAAAACAACAGCAGCAGCAGCAGCAGCAGCAGCAGCAGCAGCAAGAAAACCAAACAGCCTGAAAAACAAAACTAAAAAAACAAAACTCGACAACAATTTTGTTGTCACAAAGGAGAACTGTCAACAGCCGTTGCTGCTGCTGCTGCTGCTGCTGCTGCTGCTGTTGTTGTTGTTGTTGTTGTTGTTGTTGACATCATTGCCGGTACCTTTGATGGTTGCAGGTGCTACTTTAATCGCCGCGCTTGTTGACAAACCGTCGGCAAACGGAACGTCGCGAGCGGACAGACAAACGGACCGACGAACGGACGGATGGACGGATGGCGACTGCGTTTTGCAAGCCACTCGGTTTTGAGCCTTTGTTTTACGTGCGTGTTCCACACACACACACACACACACACACACAGCTCTGCTCACAGCTGTTGAAGTCTGCGGCTGCATCTTGGTCTTTTTTTTTTTGTTCGGGCTGCTGCCGTCTGATTTGACCAACAGATAAAGCATTGACAATTGACGCTTCTATGGCAGCCAGGAAGAGCGGCAACCTTTCGACCTCCATGCGACAATCAGCGACGCGCACAGGTGCCTCCAATAGACACCGTTTAGTTCCATCAGTTAGCTAGACAGCCCTTCTGCCACATCGAGCATCGAAGTCCAACATCATCGCGACAACTTGATGCGATCTCAAAAGGGGGTTAACAGCTAACTGAAAATATATACATATATATAATTATATTAACATTTTTACCACATTTGTGTGATCTTTGCCATGATCTTATTACTTTATTCATTTAGTTAATTAAACGAACTGAAAAGCTTCGCAAAAATAACATTTGAATGTTTCCAACTAACGATCAGCTTTCTTTCTTCCGTTCAGTTTAGAGCTAGAAATTGAGCATGTGTCTCACATTAGTGGGTGTCTCTCTCTCTCTCTCTCTCTCTCGCTCTCTCTCTCGCTCTCTCTCTCTGTTTCAGTCGCAAATACAATGACCCTAAGTATTTTATATGGCATTCTCCTGCTGTTTTTGACCCATTACGTAATTCGGGCAGCATTTTCATTATCTGTAACGCCGTCGTTATCTCGCTGCTTGAGTTGAAATGACAATTACAACTCAATCGCTGAAGCATTTATTTTACTCAGGACAAAAATGTGACAGGAAAAAAAAAAAAATAAACACAAAAAAAGGACGCACAGTGGCCGGGCCCAACTATTCGAAGCCAGGGCTAATTGATTAGCCATTAACCTCAATAGGGACGCGAACATCGATGAGAGGTAGTTGTGTCTGTCTGTCTGTCCGTATGTATGTATGTATGTATCTGTGTGTGTGTGTGTGTGTGTGTGTACTGCATGAGGTGTCGCTGTTACTCTGCACTTACTCATCCCACACACACACACACACACACACACACACACACAGACACACACAGAGACTAAGACAGTCGGCTTAATTAGGCTTAATTATGGGCTCAGACCGGCGTTGGTACGAGTCCAAGTAGCCTTCCAAAACACTTTCAAGACACATTAACAGCTCGTTGTTGTTTGTTATTGCTGGGCAATAAAAACAGCTAAAGAGCGGTCGAGAGCATATGAGGAAATTGAATTAGCTGCGCGCAGTCCAAAGAACAAAAACAAAAACAATATTAATAATGTGTGGGGGCTCTTGCAAAGCCGAAGAAAAAACAAAAAACAAACAACTTTCGGTCAAAAGGTGCAACTTTTACACGTAACGATTTGCACGAAGCTCAGGAGCTGACCAGCAACAACAACAACAACAACAACAACGTCGAGTTGATGAAGAAGCAGCAGCAGCGAGAAGATGAAAAAGAAGAAGTGCATGGCTGGCAGCTAAAAGCTACAGCTACAGCTACAGCTCCAGCTCCAGATCCAGCTTCAGCTCCAGCTTCAGATTCAGCTTCATCTTCGAAAGTCGCAAACACAAACGAGAGCAAATCGTTTTGTTGTCGAGCACAGTTCGAGCTACACACTCACACACACACATAAGAGAGGAGGTCCCACACGCAAAAAGCGGGAGAGAGTGAGAAAGAGAGAGGGCGGGTCAGCAAGAGAGAGAGAGAGAGAGAGAGAGACAAAGAGAGGGAGGTCGAGGAAGGGATGGTTGCGCGTGTGGTGGGCCGATTTGTTTGGGGCCAAGCAAAACTTGGCTCCAGTTGGCGCTTGCGGCTATGGGGCTCTATGCGGCGCGACTTCGTCTCTGGCTGTGGTTCTGGCCATGGCCATAACAAGCTGCCAACAACTGGCGCCAAGTGCTCAATAATGTTAACGAGCTATTCAGTTAAGACAACAACACAAAAACCAAAAAAAAAAAAAAAAATGAAATAAAAAAAGGAGCAACAAAAAAAAAATCAACAACAACGAAAAAGAAAAGCAACAAAACGATACGCAGCCAAAAGGAGCCCAACTAACCAGGCAGACGTGCCACGGCCTCAGTCGCAGTTGCCGTCGCAGTCTCAGACTGTGGCTCAGTCTTGTTGCCTGGCAAGCAAATAAAAAATAATTTGCAGTCGAAAAAGGCAGTGAGAAGAGCAGAAGGTGGGTGGGGCAGGGGCAAAGGAGGCTGAAGACGTGAGCTGGCTGCCTGCGTTTTTGGTTTTTGGAGTCGGAGTTGGAGGTCCCGAAGCACCAGATGGACTTGACTTGGCGACTGCTCATACCCTGTACAAATTAAATTGCAAAAATAATGCCCAAAATAAAGGCAACAAAAACACCCAAGAACCATTCACACATATATATTTTACTGAACAGCGGGAATTAGCTTCAATCACTCGCACTTTTCCTTTTCAATTTGGAATTTTAGGAATAATGCTCAAGTCATGATTTTTAGTATATAGTTACATATATGTCGTTTTGCTATTAGCAAAGTTTTAATAAGCCTACAATGCTATAGGTACATATACAGATAATTTGTTAGTCGTGCATACCCCACTGTCTCATCTTTGACTTGTTGTTGCTCGAATTCGTTCTGCCACTTGCTGCTGCTGGTCTCAGTCTCAGCATCAGCCTCAGCCTCAGCCTCAGTTTCAGCCAGAGCCATAGCCACTGCCCAGTTCATGTTAGCTGCTCTCTAAATAGAAACATCGCTGCATCCAGGCCTCCATCCGTTCGACAGTCCCTCAGTCTGTCAGTCCGTCAGTCTGTCCGTTTGTCAGTTAGTCATTTAGGCAGTCAGACATCAGTCAGCTTGTTAGCTGTTTGCCTGACTGCTTGCCTGCCTGCCTGCCTGCTTGTTGGCCCGGGCTTGTTTGGGGGCCTTTTTGTTGGTTTTTATCAAAATGCAGGCGCAGCTGATGATGATCTGTGAACATGAACAAGACGTTCGTTAAATTTGATTCATGAGGCGCAGGAGCAGGCACAGGCAACAGGCAACAGGCGCTGGCGCTCGAACTGGATGCAGAGCAGCAGCAAAGGAGAGGCAGGCAGAGTGCCAGGGAGACAGAGACAGAGCAACATGCAGCTGTAGGCTCTGGCGCTCGTTTGTTGAGGCGCAGTCGCAGCGATTGAGTGATTGCTACTTAAACTTATAATTTTCATATTTGTGTGTGTCTGAGTATATGTGTGTGTGTGTGTGTCTATGTGTGTGAGGGTGCAGCCCTTTCCTTGGGTGGGTAACCAGAGCCAGAGCCAGAGTGAGTTGGGCCGGAGCTGTGGTCACTGATCGCCTGGCGTGTTGGTTGGTGTTCCACGGCTTGGCCTGCTTGTTGTTTTGTGGCCCCATGTAATTTTCGAGTTTGCACATTGCCACCAACATGGATGGCCAGCCACAACATGGACTAAGGCTAATCAACAAGAGGACCACAAAAGAGCGCCAGCGCCAATTTGAATTCGCCTCGACTCGACTCGACTCGACTCGAATGGGAGTCTGGAGCTGGAAACAATTTGCGGCTTGGCGCCACTTGATAACCTGGCTCCGCGACTCTGCGACTCTGCGACTCCACAACTGATCGCAGTTTTTGGTTTTGTTTGCTTTTCTACTGGCACTGATAATGATGATGATGATTATTGAGTGTGTGTGTGTGTGTGTGCCTGAATACACGTCTTATTGCCAACGCCCGCTTCTCCCGTCTACCTCTCTCAGCTGTCTCTGTCTCGCTCTCTTACTCGGTTAACGTTGGAATTTGTTGGTTTGCTGGTGGGCTGCCTGAGAACCGCTGCAGCGTTTAGGCTTTATGCCGCTCTGATTAATGTTTTATTTGATTACCCAGCCAAAATGACTTGTGCCTTATCTTCCTCTGCCTCTGTCTCTTCATCTCTCTCTCTCTCTCTGTCTCTCTCTCTCTCTCTCTCTCACACACTCAATCTGCTTCAGTCACTTACTTACTGACCATCTCTTTTTGTGCTTGCAGACAAATGTTTCCGCAAATGAAATTTCGTGTTTCGGGTCTGGATGCCAAGGCTAAATACATACTGCTACTGGATATCGTTGCGGCGGATGATTATCGTTATAAATTTCATAATAGGTAAGTTCTGTGTGTGTATTTGTGTGTGTGTGTTTTTAACATCAAACTCGGATGGCACTCATTAATAATGTAATCTTTATTTGCAGTCGCTGGATGGTCGCTGGTAAAGCGGATCCTGAAATGCCAAAACGCATGTACATCCATCCAGATTCGCCCACAACGGGTGAGCAATGGATGCAAAAAGTTGTTTCATTTCACAAATTAAAATTGACCAACAATATTAGTGATAAACATGGATTTGTAAGTACTGTACGTCTTCTTTGTTTACCGCATTAGTTATTTAAGACCTAGATGCTCCAAAATGTAACCATATTCAATAACCGAAATCTAAGCGTAACTGTTCAAAACTTGACACGTTTCCTTCATCATGATTTGTCATAGGTGCATTTTGACCAAGTCTGTGAGTGTGTGTGTGTGTGTGTGCTGTGAATGTGCATTTTTTGCAAAGGTCCCATGCAATTTCTATATCGTTGATAGTTCATCTATATATATATATATATATGTGAATAATCCAGTTTTCACTCTAGTAAGCACTTTAAGAAGAGCGAGTTCTTCATGATTTTAAGCTAATTCCTGCCCATTTATTGGCAGCACTGTGTGAAATATCATTGGCCTAAACTGGCTACCCATCGCTGGGTACTGCTCTAAGTCACTGCCAGCTGCCAGCTGCGAGCTGCTAGATGCGTGCAGCTCACGCGCTAATGCCATGCGGCTGCTGTTGACTTCAAAGCGAACATTATCAAACTATATCTGGCTGGCGTATACATGTACATGTACGTGTATAAATATATATATATATATATTTTGATATAGATATGTATGTATGCATTTATCAAAGAGGAAGCTGGGCGGCACCTAACACTCCGAGTCCCTGCGCTCGGGCGTCCGACTCATCCATACATGCACTTGGCTTATCAATGCAAATTTGCGTAGCCAGCCAACGCTTAAGCGTTACCCGCGTCTGCACTTTGAAGTATGGCAGCCAAGCAGCGCGCGGCCTTATCTAAAACTTCTCACACGCAGCCGGCAGTCGGCAGCCGGCAGCAGCAGACGCTACCACGGATAAGACCCAAAGACGAAGACGCAGACGGAGACGGAGACGGTTGCGGCATCTATGACGACGATGACGATGACGACGACGACGACAACGACAACTTTCGTTTCCATTCATTTCTTGGGCAGTGGGCGCGAGCGCCAACAAATTGGCGGCGTGGCTTTTTCATGGTGGTGTTCTGCTGGTCGGTGGTGCTGCCTGGTGGCCAGTTTGTCCATCCGCCAAGGCCGAAGCTTTTGAACTTTGCCGACGCCGATCGCGTAAATTTCATCAACTGCTGCGCAAAATTTTCATTTTTTATTGATCAGCGCCGTTGCCGTCGCAGTTTTTTTCCTCTTTTTTTTTTTTTTGCCCACCCGTTGCGCCACCGCGCCGTTGCCGTTGCCGTTGCAGTCTCAGCGACGACGCTGGCGGGCGCCATGCAGTTTTGTCATGTCTGCTGCCCCCTCAAATGCCCCCGCGCCCACTCCACCCTAACCAGCTTACAGTGGTTCTGTGTGGTTCTTGTTGCTTGCACTGGTTGCCTGCCTCTTTGCATGCCAAGTCATAAATCGCACACCGAACAAGCGGCACAGACATCACCGACTGCCATAAGGGCTACATCGACAACAACAACAACATCGTCGTCGTCTCCGGCGTTGTGTGCGTGGGCCTCCGCCTCAGCCTCGTCCGCGGTCTCCGCTAAGTAGCCTGTGTTGGCCATTAATTTCGCTTAGTTCAAACGCTGCGCGCCGACACAAAGCGCTGCGTGTGTTCCCCCCTTGAAGACTTTTGTGGCTAAGTTGGGTGCTCCCGGCATCGTATGCGTAACCACAGCAAGAGTGCTCCAACAGCTGTTGTTGCTCTCAGAGAGTACGCTCAAATCTATAATTTAACGCTATTTGCGGTCAGGCGACAGGCGAAGACAGAGCTAAGGTCACACGGACGACAATACGATGGCCTCCATATTCTGTTGTCCTTTGTCCTCTGTCCTTTGTCCTATGCCCTGTGTCCCGTGTCCCGTGTCCCGTATCCATACCCGCTGGCTGCGTGTCAAAACAACAGTAAGTAAGCCCAACTCCACAGTCCATCCCCTAGCGCATACTCCGGCCTCCACACTGCTCCACCCTTACACCTATTAATTGCATATATCGGAGCTTGCTTGCATGCTTATTAGTCAGCCGCCCGACTTGCCTCGATATTACATTGAAATGCACTTAGCTCAGGTCGGAAATACAAATATATATATCGAAATATATATAAAACGCGCGCGTTTTAAAACGCCCCTCTCTGCCCTCACATTGTGTGTGTGTGTGTGTGTGTATGTGCTTTGTCGGCCATATTGTGGCAATCGCAACCCTAAAATATTGAAATAAACCGCATTTGGGGTGGGTTGCACACAAACCGCCTTCCGTCATCTGAACGGCACTCGGGCACACTCTGCATTTGGTGTCTGAGGTGTCGCCTAATGCGTTCAATTGAAGCTGAAGCTGAAGCTGAAGCTGAAGCTGGTGAAAAGCTTTTGCCAATTAAACCAAAACCCCTGACCTCGACGGCCACCCCACTTCAAACTGGTCCGAGACGTTGTCAAGTGCCGGTGCGAGTCCAAGGACCTAACGACACAAGCGGTAACGCAACGACGGTCCTTGTTGAGGACCTTTTTGGTATGCGCCTCATATATATGTGTGTGTGTGTGTGTGTGTGTGTCGTCTGCTTGCATTAGTTTCATCATAGTTCAAAGCATAGTTGGCCATCTTCAAAATGGCATCTGCAGTGGCCATGGCTCGTCCCGTGTCCTGTGCCCGTTCAGCCATGCCATGACCGTCGTCGCCCTTGCACAGCAGGCCAAGCGCAAAAAATTCTATCACAGGCAGGTTGACAAATAAACTGAAGTGGAGTTCCATTTCCGCATTTCCGGGCGTAGGCATTGCGCAGCCTTTTAACGCAAATCAAATTAATTGAAGCTCACATGTCCTGACAAGCCTTTTCCAATCCTTGTGTGCCGCCCTCACCTACCCCACCGACTCCGCTTCCACTTTGCTGGCCAACATCAGCGCAGTCGTTTCTCCTGTGGCTTGTCTTGAAACAATTCGTTTAGAAAATCAAAGGCGTCCCGCAAACTTTCATGAGTGTGTGTGTGTGTGTGTGTGTGTGAATGGTTGTGTACTGAGATATGGGATATGGCCAATTTATCTGTCATAGTCAGTTCAGGCAGGTAGTCGTAGCCTTCGCATTCGCCTTCGCCTTCGCCTTCTCCGCATCTCCGCATCTGCCTGTTAGCCGGTTAGGTGTTGCCCGAAATACAACTTGAAAGGCTGCTTTGAAGTTGACAACGGCCCCCGTGGCTTGTGGTTCTCTGGTTATCTTTGGTTCGATTTTGCAAATATGAGACCAATTAAGTGAGTGAGTGAACGACTTAAACTTATTCAAAACATTTACTATACGTTTGTATGCACGTATATAGTTTTCAACTGCATTTTGGTCAGAAATTGAACTCTTATTGAGTTTTCTTTGATTGACGACCAAATAAGATTTTTCATTAATTTCAAAAGTCGTTTCTGTGACGCAATTTCATCAAAATAATCCGAATAAAATACTGAAAGAAAAACTATCTCCTTAAATTCATCAAATTTAAATTGTAGATTACAGCTCTTCAGTCTTCCGTCGATCATAAACAGTTGAAGGACCTGCTTTCGAACTAACTAACTTGAAAAAACGTAGAAAGTGCAAATATCTGTAGTTTAAATTGAACTTCAGCTTGAAATCTGTGATATTTTTTGCTAGCTAGCTAGTTAGTTACATTTATCATTTGTTTTGCTCCTTCATCATGAACTATAATAAACTGTGTCTTACATATTGTTATAATCTTTTTTTAGTCTCGAAAATGAAACAACGTATTGGGTTAGTTTCACTCTCTTCGCATTGAGAGTGTTTTCTACATCGTAATTTTTCAGTCGCTGTTTTTCAACCCTACTCCAGGTTGCATGCGTCTATTAGTATTGGTAAACTTAACAACAATCCATTAATTGTGCCAACTTCTGTGTATTTGTGAATTTGAAAGGTATACAATGAGAAAACGGCTGCTGCGTAGAGCTGCAGCCGAAACAGATCCTCTTGCCAAAAAATGCAACCCCCGACGGGCCTAACCCCTCGAGCAGTCCTAACCCCTGAGCTATTTACGATGACGCTATCCCTCTTACTGATTATGATGATGATGATGATGTTGTTCTCTCGTTGCTCTTATTCATTTTGTTGTTGTTGTTGCTCACTGTAAATGTTCAAGCTATTTAACTAGCCCATCCGTCCGTCCGTCCGCCCGTCCGCCCGTCCGTCCCCTTAGTCCCTTAGTGCATCAGTGTGTGCCTATAAATGTCTGATTTCTTATCTTATGCCTAATGCCATCAATTGCGGCGTTGCGGCTCACTATCTCAGCGTATATCATGACGCTGAACGGCGCACGCACCCAGAGACTAGACACAGGGGCAAGGGGCACAGGGGCAGTGAGACATACATCATATCATCATCAGCATTGAGGCTTGGAGTTCTGGCTGAGTGCAAAGGGTATCTACAGCTTGGCTACAATAAATAACCAAAAAAAAAAAAATAAATAATAAATACAGAACCCATTGGCTATCAGTTTGCGATCAACTCTTGTGCTGCTGCCGGGCAGATTAGGCAACAACACGAGTTTCTGCAGCAGCAGCAGCAGCAACAGCAGCAGCAACAGCAGCAGCAACAGCAGCCATGTCCTGTACGTATCTTTGGGTAACGCCTGCTCAAAAAACCGCAGCCGCCACATGAGCTTAGCCAAGCGAGTTTTGGGTTTTAGATTCTTTAAAGCAGCTGTTGCAAGTTGCTGTTGCAAGTGGTTATATCTTTTGTTGTTGCTGCTCCTGCTCCGGAAATAGTTGCCTTAATTGCCTGCATATTTTTGGCTACAAGTGGCCGCCCCTTTTCGGCTCTGTCCATCAATCATCCTTTTTATTTTGGCGAGCTGCAAATTTCCTTTTTGGCACACACGCAATGCGTAAATGCTGTGGCAGCAAAATAGGGCTGGAGACAGGGGCAGTTTGGGATATCCCAAGTGGTATTTGTAGCCACTTAATAAGCTGGCAGCGTCATTAACTGACTCACCCCATAGCGCCATACTGTAGACTACTTGAATTTGAGGCACACTTTCTGAAATGGAGTTCCTTAGCTTGGGTTAACGCTTATG